AGTATAAATCTACCTGGAATGAAACCTGTTTGGTCTATGTGAAAACAAGATTTGGTTATGTTTCTTATTCTATTTACGAGGAGCTTGACTAGGATTTTGTAAGCAGGCGTTAGTAATGTAATTGGTCTATAGTTCTTGATGTCAGTAGGGTCACCTTTTTTGTATAATAGTGTGACTATTCCTGTACTTGGGTAGGGGCCCAATCCTTCATTAGTCCAGACTGTTCTGACAAACTTGCAGAATTCTTCTCCCAGTAATGGCCAGTAGGCTTGCCAAAATTCTTTGGATAGACCGTCTAGCGCCGGAGTTTTCCCTGGTTTCATTGAATCCAAAGCTTTTTTGATTTCTTCGTTAGTTATGGGCATGTCCAGTTGGCTAGCCAGGTTGGATGGGATTGTTTTGTCCAGATGCTTGGTAAATTTCTCTCTTGCCTGAAGCACTGATCTTGGTGCTGGTTGTTCAGTTTTGGAAGTATAGAGATTTTTGTAAAAGGTTTCTGCTATAGCCAGCATTTTCATTGGCTTTGATGTAAGTCCTTCTTCACTTTTAAGTCGGTGGATGGCAGCATTTCTTCCCTTTGCCTTAATTTTCTGAAAAAAGAACTTAGTCATTTTTTCTCCTTCTTCCCATTCTTTGATTCGAGCTCTCATGCGTAGGCCTTTCGCCTTCCAAGCACTCCAGTTGGCTAGTTCAGCTTTAGATCTTACCAGTAGTTCTTCGTAGGCTGATTCTCCTGGGTTGTTTATGAGATTTCTTTCTGCAAGATTGACTGCTGCCTCCAGCTCCTTTATCCTTTGGTCTCTTCTGGCTGCTATTTTCCTAGAGGYTGAAGAGGCTGCTTRGGATAGATTTGCGACTAATGTTGGGAAGTYYGAACCTTCTCTGYCTGCTTTTATGCATGCATAGGCTATTGCTTCTTTCATTTCTTTAGTGTGCAGTAGTGAATTGTTGATTTTGAAGAAGCTTGTTCCTTTCTGTAACCCCGGGTCGAACAGAAGGTTAAGAAAGATAGGAGTATGATCAAGACCATTGTGGTAGGGGTGTTTTCCTAATCCCATGCCATGGGTTGCACCTCTGAGAGTCTGGGATATAAGGAAGTAGTCTATAGCTGAACTTGTTATATGTTGGGATCTGTTTTTCTTTCTGTATGTGTATCTGTATGATTCTGGTTGTATTGTGCGTAGTGGTTTTATTAGATCCTTTTCTAACATTAGTGCTTGTATAAGTTGTATTACTTGTGCCTGTGAAAGAAGTGTGTCTTCTCTACCT